CGCAAAACAACAGCCGACCAATTATACACAATACTGTTGATGTTTGAAGATGTGGTACCTGAAGACACTTTAGATGATGTGATGGCTGTACTCAGTGACACCACATGGTAAGATGACAACAGCATTACAATGAACCTTTTTGGGGGCAAGAAGTTCTTACCCAATAGACCATTAAATTGTTAAAATGGTGGCCGCAAATTCGAATGAGTTAAAATTAAACTGAGTGAAAAACCAATACTAGCACTGGAAAGGGCGGGCACCTTTATTCTAGTAACCATACAAAGATTCATTATGTCAGGGGTTATATCGGCTGAGAGAACTTTAATTGAAAATTGACAAATTTACAGACATTTGTATGTCTGGGGATATATGGAACTATATCCCCAGACATACAAACGTCTGTAAATTTGTCAATTTTCAAMTAAAGTTGAACGTAATGAAATAATGAATTTTTGTAGGGTTACTAATTAAAGTAAAGGTGCTCTTTMTAGTGTTGTTATTGSTTTTTTAATTYAACTCATTTCAATTTTCAGCCKCCATTTTGGCAAAGGRWCTATKGRATGAATACRATAGARCAARAAACAAATAGAAGCAATACAATAGAAAGAGTCGACAATTAAAWCTATTTTCTGTTTTGGCCAAACTTGACAGCTCTTATTTGGTGTGACATTACTGCTTTTTTGACTAGTTGGATATAAATATTGCGACTAAACTAATAATATTTGTAGATATGAATTAATGTTGTGTATTTTTCTTTAGGGACTTGGACATTAAGAAAGTCCGAGAAGAAAGGAATAAACTATGTGACCTACTGAATATCCCTAAGCCAGTCTTAAAGGTAGATCCTATACTATAATCATACATGTTAATACTCATTCACAGGGATGTTCATGGATATAGACCTATGGTAGTCAAACTATTCCTCATTCATTCATGTCGGGGATGTTCACAAACAACAAACTATGACTTTTGTCACAAGTACATTTCTATTTCTAATTCCATTTTCCTATATATGCTGTTCAGCTTTAAATACTCATGTCAAATGTTGTAAAACGTTTCAGTCATCAGCTAAAAATACAGGGTTTAAAACCGAAAAAGAACAAGATGAACTAGACAGTTATAAAGGTGAAATATTATAGATTATRCTTATTCATTTGTCTCATGATTAGTCAGTTAGGTGGACTGAGACRTTTTGACTGGTAATGCTAGTCTTCATCAGGCAATGTAAGGGTGTCTACTAATTGGTCAGGCCGTCAGTCTGGC